CCCGAACGACTCACACCACGAGGAGCCCGAACGACTCACACCAGGAGGAGGAGCCCGAACGACTCACACCAGGACGAAGGGCCCGAACAACTCACACCACGAGAAGCCCGAACGACTCACACCAGGACGAAGAGCCCGAACGACTCACACCACGAAGAGCCCGAACGACTCACACCAGGAAGAAGGGCCCGAACGACTCACACCAGGACGAGAAACCCCACACGACTCAAATCACGAGGAGCGCTTTCTCTCCCTCCTCCTCCGCCTCGTCCTTCTCCCGCTCCCCTCACAAGGAGGATGTACAAGGAGGCGGGAGGAAGGAGGAACAGGGGAGATATGCGGGGCCAAGCGGACACACGCATGAAAAACACGAATGTCGGCATGCTTCGCGAGAGTTGTTGCTGTGAGATGGGCTGGTGGGGATACGCGAAGCGTAAAGAATTTAAGTTTGTCTCGCCAACATGTCGTCGAGTTGCGAAAAATAAAGCAGGAATGAAACGAAATGAACATCGCTTGGGTAGCCCTATGCGGGGGGTCACGTCCTACCTATCAAAAACAATACAAAGTCAATGTTTTTCTCGTCATCATGGATTTTCTTGTCGTCGGAGCTGCGAAACGTGTAGCAGGAATGGGACGCGGCGCGCATCGCGAGCGGACGCCTGGCCAACCCTACGCGGGACCCCACGTCCTACCTGTCAAAAAAAAACACGCAACGTCGACGTCTTTCTTGCCAACATGTACTTTCTCCTCGTCGGCGTTGCGAATGGCGTTGCGGGAACGGGACGCGGCGCACATCGCGCGCTGGACATGTTGTCGACGACGATGCAACATGAGAGGCCGGAACGGGGCGCGGCGTACATCGCGCGCGGTCCTGTTTCTCGTCGACGTTGCTCATTACGCGGCAGGAATAGGACGTAGCTCATGTCGCGCGCTGAACGTCTAGCCGCCCAATGAGCGACAGGCGTCGGACGCGGCGCACTTGCTTCTTATGCTGTGGGAGGGCCGGTGGGAGTGGGCGGAGCCCTCTGGCTCGTCCGAACTGGCTAACTTGACACCCTCCACCCGCCACCCCCCCACCCCTTCCCACCCCCCCACCCCTTCCCACCCCCCCACCCCTTCCCACCCCC